ACTGTATTCAATTAATTAAGCTTGCCCCTTTTCAACATGAATCAGAATGAACCTGATTCGGGGCTGACCATTTTGTACTCTTATTCTCTGCATTTCTTCTTCTTTTTTTTTAATTTTCTAATATCAGTTACAGTAATCAAAAGTAAATACAAAAGAAAAATAAATTGAAACAAACAAATTAAATAAAATTTATTTGGGATTTTAATAAATAAAGTCAGATTTTGTTATAAAATAAAACAAATCTAAAGAGATTCTATTTTAAACCAAAAATTAAAGAAAGATTATAATAAAAAAATATTTTATTAATCATATTTTTAATGATTTTCATACATAAAATTACCTTAAATTAGACTCTAATTTTAAAATAAAATAAGATAAAAGAAGTAAGATAAAATTTAGTATTCATACCCTTTCACCTACAATATTTGGCTAGACAAAATTACACACTTATCTTTACCTTGCTTAACACACAGTTACTCAAGCTTGGTACAATCAAAAGACTTCATATTGTTGTACTGAGACCCAACTCCATGATTAGACACGAGTGAGATCTATAGTACCAATCAAATTAAGATATGCCGCCCTAATAGCATTCTAATGTATCCAAATGAATCAAACTTTTGTCAACCATATTTTGATTTATTTCTAACAACAAATAAATAAATAAGTTGGCTTGAAATAATAATTTTTTTCAAAAAATAAAAGAAAGAACACTTTTGCAAGTCTTCTAAAAAAGAATTAAAAAAACTTATAAAAGTAAAAGAAAAAAACAAAAGGAGTTTTTTGTAACTAGTTTGAAATTTGGGCGTCTTTCAGATGTAAGGAAGTATTAGTAAATTATAATATCCATAAAAGTATTTGTTTTTTTTTTAAATTAAATTGTGTTAAATTAAAATTAGCATTTTTTTATTTCACTCAAAATATTTTTTATTTTACAGAAAAGAATGTAATATCTTAAAATATATTTTTTATATTTTGGATCTATTCTGAAATAAAGGAAAAGAAAAATTAAAAAATATTGTTTGGGCCTAACATATTGATATCCTCACCCTTACGTCTCCCTAAATGTAAAATGAAAATTGAAGGCACTTACCTCTAAGGAAAACTTGTTAGAACCAACCAATACTATCTGAAAGATGGTACTCTCTAAAAGATGGTTACATAATATTTAAATATAAAATATCATTTATGGTTAGTAAAACCTATATTAGAAAAGCATACAAGTTGAATGACCATCTACAGAATCATTTAAAGGTTTGTTTGAAGAACTACACGAAAGATTGCCTGAAAGAAGTAACAAAGCATTGTACTAAAGTAGAAGTTATCAATATCCTCTTCTAAGATACACATCACGTACACTAGATAAATCATATTAAAAGTTTATAGATCATTAGAAGACATGATAGGAAAAATTTTCTGGATTACGATTTGCTTACCAGTTGCATGGCTTGCAATCATTAAACGTGGCATTCATATTTCTTAACTATCATCTTCTAAAGACTATATAAATGAAATAGAAAAGTAGAAATCAATAAGTTTACAACGATCAATCTATAACACTCTTCCTCTTAGTGATATATTGAACTCTTTGTTCAATTTGTCTATGTATTGACCTTAAAAGCTTATCTTAGATTGCCTTAAATTTATCTTTATGTTCTTTCAAGAAAGATAGCATGAAGAGGCTATTCTACAAAAAAAATACTTGGTTTCTATATAAGTCTAGAGACACTTGACTTGCCAATAATATTTATATGCATTTTTTTAGTGTAAGAAACATTTTGTTATAAAAAAAAAAAATTGTTTTACTTGTAACAAGGACTAAATATAGTCCTCCATAGTTAAGAGTGAATCAACATAAATCAACGCATACTTGTTTCACTACTTTTTTTTTTTTATTAATTTGTTTGTTTAAGAAAAATATTTATCTAAAAAAGTTAATTAATTGAATATTCTTCGTTTGTTTTCCTATTTATTTCAAATCCTAAAATGATATTTATTCAAGAAATATTTTACAAACATTATTTTAAAAAATTAAATTTAGGCTAATCAATAGATTGATTTTCCAATTTTGTTTCATTTGTTCCTTTTTATGTTTTATTTTGTCTTCCATCTTTCAAAACTATTTCAAATAAGTTTTTATTTATATGTAAAAAAAGTTAACTCCATTAAAAATTATTATTCACATTTTTCTTTCCTACAACTTTTTTTCATTTTTCTCTTCCTCTAACCTTTCTGTATTTTCTTCTCTTTCCGTCTTTTAAACATAAATAGTATGGGAAGAGGTGGTAGAGAGAAACGATGTTGCAAGGATAGAGAACTATTCATGGCTGAGCTTCGACTTAGAGGAAAGGAGGGAAAAAAAACTTTGTTGACAATGGTAAAGTTTGACTAGAAAGAAAGGAGGAAGAAGAGTTTCGTCAAAATGGTGGAGTCTGGCTAGGAGGAGGGAAGAATGAAGAACTTAATCGACAATGGTGAATTTTGACCAAAAATAAAAAAAAATAAAAAAAATTGTACAGTTGTCATTAAAAATTGGATGACAACTTATCAAAATGATGAAATTTGCTTAATTAAAAAATATGATAACTAAAATTGCGCAATTAAAAATTGAGAGACTTAAATCAAACAAATATAAAAAATAGAGACAAAAATATAATTTATTATAGATTTTGCTATATTTGAACATTTATTTTTATTACATTATTCAAGAAACATTTAACTTAGTTTCCTATTCAAGAAGAATTTGTACATTGTGTTGTTAGAACCTAGCTATGAGTTCTTGCACTCAAACACATAAGAGAAACGAGAGACAGAGAGTTGTAATAAAAGTTATTAAAAATTAAAGAAGAATGAATGAATTACTTTAAATGGCAGTAACCTATTTATACACGAGATTCAGGATACGAGGGACTAAAAATACAAGCTAGACAATAATTGATATCTCCATAAAAGGAAACTTAAACAAACTTTTAAAAATCTGAAATATACCTAACACTCCCTCATAATTTAGATCCTTAAACACCTTGAAACAACAGCTTGTCCCTCGGTTCTTTAAGCCTGCTCTTCTTTCAAGGTTTGGTAAGAATGTCAGCAAGATTATCGTCTGACCTGCAGTATAATTGAAATAGATTTGGATAGAATTTATATTTTTTTTAAAAAAAAAATGTGAACAGTAAAATTGCCTATGAACAGTGTCGGTGAACAGTAAAACTACCTATGAACAGTGAAACTGCCTATGTACAGTGACCGATGATATCATTAGTGACATCATGACTGACGTCACATACGCGTACAGTACATGTACAGTACGCTTGCACAGTATTTTCGGCGTGAACAGTAAGGCAGTGAACAATGTTTCCTGCGATGAACAGTAATTCCGGTGGTGAATAGTAAATTTCAAAAATTTTCTATAAAAAGGGGGTTTCACACGAAATTTTCATTTCTTTACTCCTATCCAATGTTCTCAAAGGTTCTAAGGCTATATCTCACCATTTTCTCTCATACTAAACGCTTCTAAACTTAGATTTCTCTTCAGATCTGTGATTTTACGTCCGTTCTAAAGTATTTCAAGTAAGTTTCTCTAAGTTTGAAGTTAGATTTACCGTTTGTTTCTCTTCTTATTCTTTTTCTTATAGATGCTTATGATGTTCTTAGGAAAAACTCCGTTATAGAGTTAAAATCTTTGGCTAAATCTTTGTAAAAGCTCTATTTTGAGGTAAGGGGGCTCTACTTTATCATTTTTTTATGTTTATTACTTATATTCTCATAGATCTTGTCATGTATGTGATTATATGTGGAATAATCCTTGTTTTATGATAAATAATTGGTGAAAAGTGAGAATAATTGGTTGTTTATGTGATTTTATGATGAATACATGGTGAAAATGTGATATTATGTTCAAATAAGGCATGATAAGGTATATTGAGGATGAATGATATGATTTTATGATTTTGTGATATGAAATATACAAAGAGATGGATGTTTTATGTTTGAATATATTGTGTTTCATGTAAAAATGATGTGTATTGTGAATATACCATGGTTTGATGTATATGTTGAAAAGTATGTGGAAATATGATGAAAAATATGTATGAACATGAGAAATGACATATGTGAACATGTGAATATACTTGAAAGAGTATGAGATGGAAAAAGACATGATGTAAATAGTTACAGAGATACACTGAGGAGTGGAAGATGGAGACGATATGGGATATCTTGGGGAAATGCAGGGTGGTGAGTGACATTTGGGATTGTGCACGAAATATTGTGTTAGAATGCACCACATGGCCACATACTTGTTTCTCGACTTGACTCCTGACCATTACCTTTGCTAAGGGGTTGTCTATTGCATGTGTTGTATCCGTATTGCATTGAGTCATTCAGTGACTATTTACATGGATGTGTAAGACCTCGGGATAGAGGCATCGGATAACTGTGGCCACAGGGTGCGGTAAGCGCAGATAAAAGTAAAAGAAATTGTGAATCTGTGGAATATAATATGTGTTCGTGTGTTGAGATAAGAACATGCTTTATATGACACTATGATATGTAATGCCATGATGTTTTCTTTAATCGTGATAAGATGTGTTTTATGGTGAATATGTGTTATGTATGAGTGGTAGGGTAGAGACTCACCCTTACACAACATTTTTAGGAAACCAAGACAAATAGTACCAGGCTCATAGTGCATGGATGGATGAGAACTGCTATAGGACTTAGTTATTTTGAGTTATGTAATGGATATTTTCAGTTCTATATCATTCTTTTGAAACAATTGTAAAACTACTATTTCTTTTTGTTACTGATGAAAATTCTAGAATCTTTGTTTTTCTAAAGTACTTATGAATTAATGAAATTTTACTCTATGAACCTTATATCATTTCATTGTTTCTTTCTCATTAGAAAGTTTCTAAAAGAAAATTTACTTTACCATTTAAATTTTTATGAAAATTTATCATATATTGAAAAAAGAAATATAAGGTGTTACACACTTTGTCTCATATACAGTGATATCTTGTCTCAATATGCTTGCTGTTTCCATGGTTAACTGGATGTTTTGCAAGGTTTATTATAGAATTGTTGTCCACAAATAGGTTCATTGGATTTGCTTCTTGGATCTTCAACTCTTTAAGAAGTTTTCCAAGCCATAAACCTTGACAAGAACCCATTGAAACAGCAATGTATTATGCCTAATAGGTTCATAAGGCCACTGGAGATTCTTTCTTAGAGCACCAAGAGATTGGTGCTTCACTAAACATTGAGATGTACCTTGCTATACTCTTTCTGTCATCATTATCTCTTCTTCAATCTGAGTCAGTATAGCCAAACAACTCTGCATAAATTATGCTATTGTTTTTGGGAAGCTAAATACCATAATTCATGGTGCCCCTGATGTATCTCAAAATTCTCTTAGCAACCATCATATGTGGTGTCTTTGGAGCCTCCATGTACCTACTAGTTAAGCCAACACTAAAGGCTAGATTAGGTCTTGTATTACACAAGTACCTCAAGGACCCTACAATCTGCTTGTAGAGTGTAGCATCAACATGTTCACCTTCACTCTTCAGACTCATAACCAATCTTGTCTTAGCTGGTGTGACTGCCATGTTGAATTCAAACATGTTGAACTTCTTCAACAAGTCTTCAACATACTTGCCTTGATGCATAAAAATTCTAGCTTCTATTTCCTTGAACTCAATGCCAAGGAAGTAGGATAAGGGGCCCAGATCAGTCATCTCCAACTGCTTCATTAGCATGTTCTTCACCTTATCTATTTATTGCTTGTTGCTGTTTGTGATAAGCAAATCATCAACATAGAGGCATAAAATTATTAAATCAAGCTCAAATTTCCTTTTAACATAAACATCATGTTTTGAGATACATTTAGTGAAGCCTAGCTGAATGAGAATACTATTAATCTTCTTTTTTCAGGCTCGAGGAGCTTGTCTAAGACCATATAAGGCCATAGATTATAAAACCTGGTGGCAGCCCAACATAAACCTTTTCTCTAAGAGGTCCATTAAGGAATGTAGATTTCACATCAAGCTGGTGCATAGACCAGCCTTTGAGACTAGCAAGCAAGCACAAAGCCAATAGTTTCAATCCTTGCTACTAGTGCAAAGATTTTCCAAAATCAACACCTTCTCTCTGCAGTAAGACTTTTGTAACCAATCTAGCTTTGTACATGATAACCTCACCATTAAGACTTTTTTTCACTTTGAAGACCCACTTCAAAGCTATAAGCCTTTTCCTGTGGCAAAGATACCAAATCTCATGTATGGTTCTTGTCAATAGACCTCAATTCTTGTTTCGTAGCACAAATCCATTTTGGATCTTTTAGTGCTTTATTAATTTTCACTAGTTCAGTGCTTGCAAACAAAGCCAAGTGTACTAAGTCATCTTCATTTGTGATCTCATTATCAGTATAAGTTTCATAGTCATTTAAGTTGTGTGAAGCCTGCTTGACCCTATGAGATCTTCTGAACTCAATTCTATCATCAATAGTTACAACATCACCTTCTTTACTGTCATGTTCAACTTGTAACCTAGTTGTCTTACTTACAAAAACTTCTTCCAACTTTCAGCTTCTTGACTTATCAAATACAACATTCCTACTTATGTAACCTCCAGTTGCATGATATCTAAGCAGGATCATCTGTTCACTCTTGTCATCAAGCTTATGTCTTAATTGATTAGGAATGTGCCTATAACACAATGAGCCAAAAATTTTGAAATGACTAACATCTGGCTTGGTATCTGACTAAGCTTTTTCTGGTGCAACTCCTTTCAATCTATAGATTGATCCAACTCTGATACTATTGTTAGAACCTATAAGTTCTTGTGCTCTTATACTCACATACACAAGAGAAATGAGAGATAGAGAGTTGTAATAAAAGTTATTGAAAATCAAAGATGATAGTATGAATTATTTTGAATGGCAGTAACTTATTTATACATGAGCTAGTTCAGGATACTAGGGATTAAAACTACAAGTTGGACAATAATTAATCTCTCCATAAAAGGAAACTTTGACAAACTTCTACAAATCTAAATTATAACTGACAATACTGATTTGTATTTAGGATAAATTATAATATTTTTTATGTTAAAAAAATAATATTAATTAGTTTATATTTTTTATTTTTCGCTTGGTACATAATTAACCTAAGTGACAAATAATGCCACTGAAATTAAATTATGCACTCGGAGAACTAAGGAGAAATGTCATTAAATTTTTTTTTTTGGATCAGGATAAAAGATTCATACAGTTACACATTCTTCTCAAAGAAATGTTACCAAAGGATAACTTGCTCCATGTGTGACGCTAAATAAATGTTATGATTATTGATGTGAGATACAAGAGGATACGTAGATATCCTAATAGTTGCATATTATTTTAAAATAAATATGAAATTTTAAATGTATATCCTAAGTAAGTATAATGCCTCACGAAATAAGAAAAAAAAAAGTTTTGACATGGTTGTGTTATATTTTTTTATAAAACCAAGATTTAGGTGCCTGTATTCTAATGCAAATGACACAGAACATATGACATGACATGTAAATGAGAGGATTCAAGATGAAAAGCATTGACACTCCGAAAGATGCTCCACAATGGAGTAAAAGTAATTATGATTATAACTTTGGGAAAAGACCAAATCTTCATCTTGCGTCGTTTACAAATGGTATTAATTTGCATGGTATGCAAAGCTCCTCATAGAGTACATGACTGATAATTTTGGTAATCTATAGCTTCACTCTATGACTATGCATGAAACGTAAGTATTTGATGTTATCTATGTTGATCAACTAGGAAATGTTATAGATGTTTACTAGACTCCTATAATTGAAAATTTGAAAGATATGTGACAGATATATGTTGAGTTATATAATGGATATAAGAGTAAAAAATTCAAGTTGAAGAATAAATAATTTTATAACTAATAGTAATTTGTCAAAATACAATATCATGGGATAACATGCATGTCCAATACGTGAAGAGAGTACAAATGTTATACGATTGAAAACTGTTAAAAGAATTTATTCTTGTAATAGCCCGGCAACTTATTCGAGACTGACGATTGTCTCCACAAACTAATACGAGATTTTTCAGTGTGGTTTGTCCTCACTCGCATACTTCCCAGGAACTTCCCAGAAGGTCACCCATTCCATAATATTGGAGTTCTTAAGTAATAGGCCACCGAAAAGTAAATGCATTTTGTTGTTATAGGTAGTCTTAATCAATTCCTTTAAAGTATCCTCAACTGTATACAGTCTCTGGATCTCCCTCTCATTCCGATGTAAGTTCGATTCATTCATGTGCCCTTTACTGCTGGAAGCCTGCCAGGTAGCCGCTCATTGTCCGTGCCACATTGCAGCGACGATCACTCCCCGCCCTCGCCTAGCACCTGGGTGTCACATGCCTACCAGCTTCCGCTTGGTTCATCCTCGAACCACACGTACTGGGAGAGAGACCTGCTCTGATACCAAAATTGTAACACCTTAAATTTAATTTCAATTTAATAAAAATTTCGCAAATTCAAATAACAAAGCAAATTAATATCAAATGACTGCTACAAGACTAGTTTAGTTACAACAAATTTTAAAATAAAAACTAAGTCTTATAGCAATCCATCCATCCCTTCACTAAGTCCGGTGCTGATCGTCTTAATTACCTGAAAAATGAATGTAAGGGTGAGTACTCTACATTACCCAAAACACACATTCAACGTAGAGTCTCACTTCCAGAACCTTCCTAGTACATTCAACAAACACAATCATAGGCAGCAATTCACATCCATAAGTACAAAACACAAATCCATGCATACGCATACCAGCCACACTCACTATAGTACTGTGATCACAGATTTACACCATGAATGGTCGCCGTTTACCTCTGCCTCACAGATACTACGTGGGCAGTCACGGGTCGCTCAACAAAGGTAATGGTCAGAGGTCTACTCAGAAAGAGAGTATGTGGCCCGTGGTGCACCCGTTCCACAGTCGGTGTCATCACCACTCCCTCTTCCCCAAGGTATTTCTACTGTCCTTATCTTCCACATCCCCAGTGTATCGCTGAACCAGCACATTACAACGGCGCTAACATGCCTATTCACACATATTCCATTCACGCATGCAATAATCATGCTTACACACGGCACACAGCCCACATTGTATTCAAATACACAGCACTAGGCCCACATTCATTTATTCACAATATCATTAATTCACCAATCAATGACATTTCATCACACACAATCACCCTCACGGGGTCTAATTATTCTACAACACATCACATTGCATATCAATTTCCATCAAACACACAAGAATTATAATACATTGGGATAGGATAAAGTCTCCCCTTACCTTGGATTGATGTCTCACGCGCTAAATCCACCAAGAAGTGTTTCCTCTCACGGATTTCGTCCTAAACACATGGAGAAACTCCATGAGAACCCAGGGGAAACACGAAAATAGAGAAAGGGAATTAAAAACCAAAATCTTAACCATTAAAACTTACCTCCAAGCGTTTCCCACACAGATTCAACCTTCAATCAAGCTCCCGAACGGCTTTGGAGGCAATTAATCGGTGAAATAGGACTTTGGGGAATGAGAGGATTGAAGGGAGAGGAAGAAATAACTCCCCCCGAACCCTAACCCCCTTTAAATCCTTTTCTGGTCTCGACACTCTCGCTACAGTGAGATATTCTAGACCTCGCTGCAGCGACACGCCCTCTCGCTACAGCGAAAAAACCAGAGAAAACTGCACTCTAGTTTCTGCAGAATTTCGCTACAGCAAGACCCTCTCGCTACAGCGAGACTGCACCCAGAAATGCACCCCAAACTGTCGCTCTGTCGCTACAGCGAGATGTCTCTTGCTACAACGAAAAGGCGACAGTTCTGGTCCTTTCTCCCTGGGCCTTCTCGCTACAGCGAGAATCCTCTCGCTGCAGTGAGAACAGCCTAGTGTTACGCCCCGCACTTAGCCCATTTTCAGCCTATACAGTCATACATACACATATATACACACATCCATGTACTTAATACACATAAAACATCATTTTCAAATAAATCAACACACATATGAATATATATATATATATATATATAAGAATAATAATAATTAATATTATCAAAATTCGAGGCGTTACAATTCTCAAGAAATCGTAAAATTTTACCTACAAATTAACGTAAGTAGGGTTAGAAAAAGGATTTTGTTGGGAACACAAAAGAAGGTAGGACTCTTTTGTCATTAATGGCTAACAATTGTTTCAATAGCAAAAGGATATAAGGATATAAGCATCACCTTTAGCAAAATACCTTGTTACAAATAGGTGAAAGAAAATGTCCATTTCTATGAGTTTCCTCGTTGGAAGTCTTTATATGCTAGACATTTTGTTAATGTTATATATAAATATATATATATATATATATATATATATATATATATAATGTCATAGGCACACTGCTTCATGAAAGTAGATATAACACAATTAGGATTGATTAATGATAAAGTCACATTTATACTATATTTTGATAGAAATTTATTTTATTATAAATATTATTTTTCTTAAATAAGTGTTTTGTATACAAAATTATCATTTATTAAGTACTTTTATTTGCAATATAAGTATATAGATATTTAAAATAATTTATTTTAAATTATATGATAATCAAATTAATTTATATATTTTTATTTTTTTATAAAATCTTTGAAAAGGAATTCAAGTTCAAATAAGTCAAGAGAATTAAAAAAATGAAGTTAGAAGCAAACTTAGTGCACGTCAAAACACCGACACACAAAAAAAATTCACTTGAAAAGCAATTAAGAAAGAAAGAGACTGAAAGTTTAACGAGGGTGTGGCGTGCGTGCACCAAATTGGAAAATTCCATGTAATTATTTTACAAGCTTTCTTGGTATATAACATGAAGCAGAGAATATTCATTGACAAGAATGCAATCGTCATAATAAAGTAAATCTTAAAACTCATTCATAAAAGTCCATAGAACCTTTTTTTGCCCTGGTATCATGCTAAGAGTAGAGAATATGTGTCTTCTTCATTGAACCGTTTTCAATATTCTTCAAGGAAAGTATATGGAAACAAATGCTACAAAATTCATATAAGTCACAAAATCGTCTTATCACATATCTATAATTAACCTCTGCCACTATGGATATCCAAGAAGGTAACGTTGTCTCTAACTTTTTTTCCTTTGGGGTAATGTCTTTTGAAAAATCTGTGTCGATGTGTGTCTATATTTAGGCCTTTTATGCTTGAAACATTCAAACGTATATTGAATAAACTTAGTCCAATGAATATAAAATGATAGGGAAAATTATTCACGTTTAATATTTGGTCATATCTCCTATAGGATTAACAAATTACCCATAAAAAAATGAAAAAAAAAAAGTGATGGATAATCCTAATTAATATTTTTTAAATATTTATTTTTGTTACAATACAATTAGATTGAGGGAAATAGAGAGGGGAGGGGAGGAATTATTTTAACTTTTTATGGGGTTTTTGCCTCAAGGAAAGAAAAAATGTTTCATATATTTTAGATTATGGTGACTAAATTATCTTGTGATATATTTATCTTTCCTTCATCCTCTTTATTAATAAATATAAAAAAAATATATAACAATATATCATTTAAATTAATTCTCCACTTTCCTTACTAACCAAACCAGGAGATCCTCCCATCTCCTCCTCTAGTAGTTATTGAAATGCCCTTCGTTAGGCTTCCAGTTGCTAGAATAAGGTCAAACCAAGCCTAAGTGTTGTAGAAAAAAATGGGGTCTCTTTTGTGCTAATTATATGTGATGTCCATATATCGTAGGAATTTCACGACTTATATCCAATGCCCCACCAACTCATTACATAGTTAAAGTACAACTATTTTCACTCCTTGCAAAACACTCAATAGAGAGATACGAATCAGGAGAATTCGATGCTGGAGGCTACAAGTGGTATGCGTACACTACAAAATAATTTTAATTTAATAGTCACTTAATATTTGATTAGTCTTTATTAGTATAACTTTTTTAACAAAGAAAAAAGATTCTTAGAGAATTTTAAATTTGTACTAAGAGTATCATATATTATCCCAATAAACAATTCTATTGGTACAAAACAATAATATATACTATACAGACAAACATTAATATATATTGCATTTGTTATTCCTGAACTCTAAAGCGTTTCTTAGCAATTTAGTTTTTATTTGATGAAACTATACTAACAAAAGGTTATTCTAACATATAATAATTTTTCTATAAGTATATGGATTTTTTTAGTGATATATTCTTCCTTTTGTCTAACTATATAAACCTCAGTCAATGCATCTTAATTAGCAACCATGATTCCATGGATATAATTATTGTCTTTACTTGTATGTCAATTACTGTGTCTTGTATGTGCTCGCACCTCTCAGGAAGTTGGTTCTGTATCCGAGCGGAAACAAAAGTAAGAATGTGACGGACCATATTTCCCTATACTTAACTTTGCAAGGAGCAAGTGCACTTCATTCTGATATAGAAATCTACGTCAATTTTCGATTATTTTTGCTAGATCAGAACAATGACAATTACTTAGTGATCCAAGGTATTTCTTTTAAATTTAACCCTTTCTTTTGAGTCCATTTGGGTAATAATCAGTTGCGAAGTATGTATAAAACCCGTCACCCGGCATGTAAGTGTTGCAATTTCATAGAAAAAGAAAATATTTTCAGGATAAAATACACTTTATTTACTTGTAGTTTTATGCCTTTTCATTTTATTTCTTAAATTTTTAAATGATTGAACTCTTATAATTTCTCTTTTATGTCACTAAACTTTCATGTAATGTCATTTTTTCATCACTTTATTATGTAAGAAAAGTTTATTGACCAAAAAAAGTAATGATAGTAAATTGAGAAAACATGAAAATGTAAAAGCTAAAGTAAAATGTATCCTTAATTTTATTGCAATGACAAAGTTGTCTTTCATATCACTTTGTTATAATAAATATAGATTTTTTTTATTATATTTCTATACTAATATGATATTGTTCACTTTGAGACTAAATTTTTATAAATATCTACCAAAAAGTCTCGTACTAATGGAGATATTTATCATATTTATATACTTTTAATTCTCTTTAATTCTAATTAATGTGTAATTTTGTTTGTATATCTCAACATATTTTGTAGCACAACATTTTTATTTATTGCTTTTTTCTTCATCAAGAGTGGTATATGTTTCTCAAATAAATTTTCCAATGATCTTTACTCTCACAATTTTTGGAACATTGCATTTGATGATTGATAGATACATTTGGAAAGGAAAGGAGATTTACAAAAATAAAGGTTGAATGGGGATTTGATCAATTTATTTCTCTCAAAGATTTCAAAGATGGTTCCAATGGTTATCTTGTGGATGATGAATGCACATTTGGAGCAGAAGTCTTTGTTTGTAGGGAAAGAAACCAAGGTAAAGGAGAATCTTTAGCAATGAAGGATGCAATTACCTACAAACACGTTTGGAGGATTGGCAACTTCTCCAAATTGGGTTCAGAATGCTTGGTCTCCAAACCGTTCAACACTGGAAACTATAAATGGTATCAAGAATCAACCCCGTTTCGTTTCTAAACTAGCTTGTTTGGTGCTCAATTTTGCCTTGTTAATTTTTGCAGGATTTTAAAATTATATCCCAATGCAAAAGGTGCTGGATTAGGCACTAATAATCTTTCTCTGTATATGGCCTTAGCTGATCCATCAACTTTTCTTCCTGGTTCTAAAATATATACATATATAACTTTACGCATCCTTGACCAAAAGCAAAGCAACCATTACTATGGAAAAGGTATAGGTTGAATCCTCTTGTATGGGGTACTGTAATTCTTTAAATAGATATTTAGTATCCAGATTTTTTTTTTCATTTTTAGAATTTATATTTTAAAGTATTTTTTATCATTGTTTTAATAAAATGTTATAATTTGGTATATATAATTTTTTTTTTCTTTAACCATGCTTTTTCAAAATACTATAAATTAAATATGTCTAATTTTTTTTTAAAAAAGCAATAATTGAAGGAATATCTAAAACTTTTCCACATTTGTAAAAACTTAATATTTTTAACATATGATTTAGGATAAAACTGTTGAAAATAATTTCTCTGCCAAACGTTATTTATAGATAGTTGAAGGAATAATTGACAAAAAGGCATGATTTAATTAAATTGACCATGATTCTTTTTCCTCATCTTCTTGTTGCAGCTAATTATTGGATTAGTGCCTCGAGCCATGAAATTGGTTATTCAAGGTTTGCTTCGTTAAGTAGTATCTTAAATACTTATTATGGTTACGTCGTGAACGACACTTGCGTAGTGGAAGCCGAGGTTACAATTCTTGGAACGGTTCATCGTTTGTCCTGAAATTGTTAACAGTGAAGTATTTGGCATGAAAAGCCAACTTTGGTGTATATATATGTGTGTTCTAAAAGGACACTAGCATCTTAAGTCAACATTTATCTGGATAATTTTATGTATAACCAACATTTCAAGTAATGTATATTCGATATGGAACGTGAAATGCACAGTTGTCATATATTACATGTATATATAAATTTTAAATATTCACAAAGTTGCTTAATAATATTTTATTGAAACATAAAATGATAAATATATTAGATATAAAACAAAAAAAAATCACAATTGTCATACTAATGTGGTATTACTATATTTTTATAAAATAATATTACATTCTAATTTAATAAGAGATTTATCAATTAATTTTTTTTATCGATATAAGTTATTTTTTTGTGGCAAGTGTACTCGTAGAAAAGTAATAAAAAGTTTTAGAATTAAGTTATTAAGTTATTATTATAAGAAAATTATTTTCAAGTACCAATAATACCTCAATTTAATTATTTAAATAAAAAAGGTACATAACGAATTAAATATCACAAAGAGTTTAAATCCAAAAATAGTTTAAAAGGAATTAAAGTAATTTTTGGCACTAATTAAATGAGAAGAGCTTAAGATATAACCTTAGTTATGAATTTAATTATTTATAATAAAAATAAATAACAAAAAATGTGAAGAACAAATTCATAAAAACAAAGGAGCTCAATCACTCGCTCGAACTCTAAAAATAAGCTCGTTGTCTTTGTCAATGGTCTCTAGTAACTGTCAAAAGTAAATTAAGTTAAAACTAAAAAAGGAAAGAAGGTGTGTAGCCAAAGTGTAGAAAAATGTGTAGAAGGATCTCCTATTAAGAGCGTAAGACTTCTTTATACAGGATGTGCCCTAAGTTTCCAGTCGGTTAAACTCTATCTTTTAGAATCAACTTTTTTTGCCTCAATCACAACTTCAATCGAAATCTTTATCTGAATTCTAAATCTGAATTTAGATAAGAACTCTTACAAAGTTTGACTTTTAAATTTAAACTTTTGAATGTAGATTCATTAAACATGATTGTGCACCTTCATCCAGCACAGCCATGCTAGACAACAAAGCACCTCCATGTCAAGTGCAAAGCATGGTCGTACATAAGTATGAGACGAGCTAAAATTATCTAAATTTTTACTTAGTATATTCTGAAAATCACTAGTTCTTTTATGTTTGAAAATTAACATTAAAATTAATGAAAAATTTCCATAAAATAAGTTTTAATTATAAAAATATAAGTTATAAAATATATTAAAATATAAACTCATCATTTATTAATTATACTTGCGTGTTCTTTATATAAGTATAGAAAAAAAATTATGTTAAAATTGTTGGGTTTAGAGAAACAATTCAAAGAAGTGCGTCACACATGAATACACAAATTAAATCATTATAAACTTATCATATTAAATGTATTAATTTAAGAAAATATTTAAAAAGAAAAACCATAGAGTTAAATGGGAAAAGGATCTGACTATTACTATTCTCTTTCTTAACTTACTCACGGGTGTCATACGCATATAATGTTAATATAATTTTTAAACCTGCAAAAGGTTATTTAACAATATTTTATTGAAACACAAAACAATAGCCGAATGCGATAAAATTATAATATATGTCACTAATATGTTATTTTTTCTTGATCAGTTAATATATCAAAAACTAAACTAGGAAGAAGGATCAAATGCATGAGAAAATTTACTACTTTGATCCATATGTATCCTCACCTAGGCCTGATGAAATTTTGTTACAAGCAAACAATAATCATCCTATTCTCTTTTTTTTATTATTATTTCCGATTTGATTTAATTTGAATCCGACTCGAATTGCTTACCTGAAACTTACCACTAGAGATTTAAGCTTTAATATAAATCGATTCAGGTTGCCAAGTTCAAGCTGATGATCTCAACAAAAGAGAGGTGTTATGGCTTTGTATTTAGCTTCTTTCTTCTCTACTAACCAAAACTTCACACGACCCCAGACAAAAATTTTATTTTATTACATCTTTCGACGTCTTTTTATTCATCGCCAACTGCACAACACTACATTACTTTTTACTAGAAGACCAAATAATAATTTCTACATTCAGCGAATGATGTCATGATCGATGATAGAGTATCCTCAATCTCATCAAAGGATTTGTTGCAGTAACTCGAGCATTGAGAGGAAGCTGAGATATTGTCAGTGTTACCAATAAGAAAATACATCACGGAATTCAATTTGTCGCTATGAGTAAAGGGCCTAGTTACATTGTCGCTTCTTTAATATTTATAGCATAACTATTGAAACCCATTTACTACGTAATTGAAAATGAGTTAGTTCATGATTGTGTTTTACAACAAAAAGATGTCCCTTCACTGGTTTTTATTATGTTATAATTTATATGTAATTAGTTAATCTCGTAGAAGTTGGAAAAAAGTTAAATAATAATTTCTTTTGAAACTTTCAGTAAACATGATTTTATTTACTAAAATTAAATACTAATTTCTTCTCCTCTTTGTCACGAACTTGCAGCTATCGTGACCGGAATGTTTTTATCATTTCTTCTGTTACTAATTTAATATTATTTTTATTATTTGAACTTAGTAAAATTCTATTAAAATTCATTTTTAGAGTAATAAATATTTTTATCATTTTTCTGTTACCAATTTAATATTATTTTTATTATTTGAACTTTGTAAAATTTTATTAAGATTCATTTTTAGAGTAACAAAAATATGAAGTAAATGGTTTCTTAAGAAACCGATAATTAGTTGAGAGTTTTTGCTCTTAGATTTAAGGACTCATGTGTCTGTTTCAAGATGTTTTAGTTGAAGTTACTTTTGTAGAGAGAGCAAGTATATAAAATTAGATTAAAAACTAATTTCAACTAAAATTGAATTAAAATTAATTTTAAACTAATTTTGAATTTTAAAATTAATTTTCAATCAATTTTAAAAAAAATCATAATTAGATTTTAAATGAAGTTGGATTAATTTGGTGCCAACCCAGTTCATGCCACTCTATTTTTAGCTCAACCAGATAAACCAACTCACCATTTAGTTAATCTTATTCTCCACCTGATGTCTACATCCTTGTACTAACAACAAAATATCTAAGTTTTATTTTGTTCTTGGAAGAAAAAAAAATTATCTAGAATCTCTCTGGGCATATATGTAGAATAAATTTGTTACCATTGATGAGCATATTTATTGTTGAATATCTCTTATCAAAATTCAAACCCTAATCAAGTCCCTTTGCAAAAATCTCTCACTTAAATCCTACCATACATTGATAGCATTATTTTGAGTTGTTGATTCATAAATAAAAATAATCAACCAAGAATGAATCAAGTTGTTATGACATTCCCATTCCTTAAAGCATGGATAAAGCTATATGGAAAGGAAATAAAACCGTCTAGAAATCAAAATTTATTCTTAAAAATTAACACACTTAATTTCCATTGATCTTGCCTTAGGATGATAGTTGTTATCTGTTCATATTTGTGAAACTATGGCTACCGATTAATTCTCAACAAGATGAACGGACTAGATAATATAAATAAAAGTAGAAAAATAAAAGATTGCATAAGTTACAAAGATAAAGGATTATGAATTAAAGACCATAATTCATTGAAAAAATATATGTGAGAATCACACCTTACTGCTTGAGATTAAAAGTGAAGCAAATGAAGAAACGTTTTTTAGTCTCACAAGAAAGGTGAATAAAAGAAATATTATAAAGTTTATAATACTACCTCATTAGAACACACATGGATGGTAAGTTAAAATTTTTAAAGTTTAATGACAAAAAGAAGGTAGATATCCCACATTTTTCAAAAGCCAAATGAGAAGGTTGAAATACTTAAAAAAAGTATAAGGTTCGATGTTTTGTATACGGTAGGACTGTGATCAATAACTTTATGAAAGTTTCTACTTTTATTCATTTAAAAGTTGTAAAAATAATTCTTCGTTATTTAAAAGATAAAATTAATTTTAAATTATTTTATTCTCTTTTTAATGATTTCAAACTTGTAGAATCCTATAACAATAACGTTGTAAACGACATTAATAATAAAAAAAATACTATCAAAATTAATTTTTTATGGATGATATCAATTATACTTTTAAATGTAATTCTAATAAACTATTGTTAAACTTTCTACTTGTTAGCTAAAAATATGATCATAACTTCTTGCACGTGTTGTGATACTTGCATTAAAAGGTTATTGAAAGAACTTGACTTACAATAGATAAGTACAAAGATTTATATATACACAAGAACTTGTCAAGAAATTAATTTTCGATGAATAAAGAAGAAAACATATAAATATAACATATTTCATTTGATTAGAGAATACGTTAAAAAAAAGTGAAACTAATTTTATAAAAGTTCGTAAGTTAGTATAAATTAAACACTTTAATTATATATATTGGCTTAACTTTAGATTATAGGTTATGAATATTAAATGGGATATCTAAGTTTTTCTAAAAAAATATAATTATTTTATTTCTCAGTCTTGTTTTAACAATAAAATTCTCAAAATAGATAAATTTATGTTTGCCTTAAATTTTATTTTATTTATTTAGAAAGAGTACGCCATGCTTTTAGCCCAAATTTTTTGTAGTGAGACCAACGGACTCACTATTAAGTTAATTATAAACTCTCCCGATGTATACATCCATGTATTGATATCTATATAAATTCCATTCTGGTACTGGCAGCATAAAATTTAATTGGCTTTAGTCAAACTTCCGATTGATTCGATTCATGTATGCATGTATAGAAGTGATTTAATTTTCAAACATTTATATAGAGGCTTGAGAATAGAGTATATATAATATATTTGTTTCTTTAAGCTAAAAGTGCAACTAGCAGAGATAACATAATAAACATACTCAAACCATCATGCAAAGCACACAAACACTAAAAATTTTCACAATATGTAGAATTACACATCATTTCACTTCAAACTACCAACTTTATCTAGGCATACTGGCTTATTATACATAGCACCGATGCTTGATATTGAGGTAGCCAGTGTTTTAAATTGCGATCTGTAGATGCAATATAATCGGGATTGCAATTGCGGTGGCATCAACTGCATTATTTATTCATAATTTTGAGCAATATTAACGATAGTGATAATAGCAACCACAACTTAAAACACTTGGAGTAACTGAGCACGTACTCGTCAGTTGGTACCCGGGGGCCTGGAACGTGGGATTTTTGGTGGATAGTTATCTACCACTGTGTTGTCTTGTTTGGAGAATTGACTTTTCAATGGGTCATCGTATGTGTTGGTGGCTGGGGGTATGGTTGGCTTTCTTGGTCGTACATAGTTGTTTGGCTTCTCTTTTGTGTTGTGTTGCTCCTCCTGCAGGTACAACTCCTCTGTAGCTGGCTTGTGTGGTGGTTTACTAGGAATTTTGTGTATGGGCTTGTAGTTGTCTAATTGGGGTGGTTTACGAGGATTCTTGGGTCTGGGCACGTAGTTGTCTAATTGGGGTGGTTTAACAGGAATCCTGGGTTTGAGAAAGTAGTTGTCTAATTGGGGTGGTTGACGAGGTTTGGGTTTGGGTACGTAGTTGTCTACTTGTGGTGGTTTAGTATGTGGAGGTCTTTTGGGGTAGTTGTCTACTTGTGAGTTGTGTTGTTCTTTTGGAGGAGGCTTTGAGTGATCGGCAAGAGAGTTAGCAGCCAACACCATTGCGAGAGCCAACACTAGCATGCATTTTTCAGTCATTTTCAGGCTATGCCGCTTTGCTTTGGGGTAGAAACTAATGCAGAGTAGTCCCCTTTTATAATATCAAATCGTTTTCACCCTCTATTAACGGTTTTTTAATCAAATATAAATTTTAAATTTAAATATGTTTTTGTTAGTCATAGTTTAGTAAATTTTTTGTTTTAATCTCTTTAAATAATTTTTTTATTTTCTTATAAATTTATATTTTTAGTCTGTCTCTCACATGATTCATTAGAAAGTTAAAAAGTTAAATATATATCTTCATCCTCTCATGTTATTTTAAGAGTTTATATGCTATTTAAAGTATAATAAATAATTATTTAAATACATATTTATGAATGTCTTAATTGTATAAAATTTTACGAATATAATGAGCATGATAATGTTAAACTAACAAATGGTTTGTTTAAATGGTATATGCTTAATTAATTTTTTTAAGTAAGGTTTTAAGTTTAATTTTTCTTATGAAAAAAAGGAAATCGTATGAAAAACTAACCCAATTATTGATGTTTACAATTTGAGAAAGATTGTCACTTATGAAGTAGTGTGCAAATAAAAAAATTAAAAATTTCTTTCAATATAAAATACATTATAAATTTTATTCATAATTTAGTTGCAACAAAAGTGTCCCTCAAATCACGAATAATTACAATGCCACCCAAACAGGGATTTCACCAAAGACAACCATCTCATTGACGTTAACTTTCACCTGTGTAGATCATGGGTTAATATTAGTTGAGCACTTGAACAATTGTTTGTTACCATACGCGCGTTGATGAAACGTTGATTGAATTGATCCAAAAAGGAACATTGATTGAGTTTCTTACGTATTAGTGAAATTACTTGCCAAATGATAATGAAGTGTAAAAGCATCCTTGCTTTATATCTCACCTGAAACATGCATTGCCACTAAAGATAACATTAAAAATTCCGTTGTGTTATTTTCTTTGATATTTATTAACTCCATTTACACTTTTTCTTTTTTGTATTGATGTTATTCGTTCTTTTTAATTGTTTTCCCAAAACCAAGAAAAAAGTTATCTCTATGATTAGAACAACATTTGAGATCATCCCTCTCAAATAGGTAATAAGATAATACTTGACACAACCTATTCATACACTTTCTTCATAATTATCTTTTACTTAATTATTTTTATCATTTTATCTCTATCTTTAGTCCTTCTATATTAAACTTTTCCTTAAAATTGTATTTAGCATGCTTTTTATTCTTTGATCAGAATGTTTCGTAGGGTGTTTTATATCATGATAAATTCACTTATATCACATTTTTTCTAACGATGTTTGGTTTCTCTATGTAAAAAGGTGAAGTGGAGCTTAGGTGAGAACGAGTACAAGGGCTAGCAAAAGGCCCCTAGGGCACGAGAACACAAATTAGTTGAATTATAAATACAAATAAAGATAAAGTGCGCTCAACTTTTAGTAATGAATTTTTTTTTTCTTTTTAGTTTTCTTTATACTAATAAAGTTATTTTTTTCCACAACTTTAAATATCTTTTTACATTCCTCTATCCATTTCTTTTTCTTTTTTTCATTCTATTAACCGTGAAACTTTCTATTACTTTTTTTTATTTATCATATTTTATTTATTGAAATGTGGATTATTTGATTAATACGATATACAATGTCAAGTTTTAACAAAATAAAAAATGATTTTTTTTATAATAAAAAATCTCTAAAAAACAAATTTAAAATTTAAAACATACAAATTTAAGTTTAAATGTAACAACAAATCAATTTTAGTTCATAATAGAAAATAGGAAGAAATTTTAAATTTTATATTTGTGATTTGCATTTTGGAGAAGAATTAAAATACTTTCTAAGTGACACTTTGAGAGTAGTTACAATTACTTTGTATAATCGTGTTTATTATAGTAGTTTTAACTATTCTCTAAATCAATGTGAAATTGATTTTTAATGTATTTTTTGTGGTAATGGTTTATTAAATTAGTTAGTATTGTAATTAGAAAATTAAGTTTTGGTCACTAAACTCTTTTTATGGAACGTATTGAACAAAACAAATTAACATAGTGATTATCGTAAGAAAATAGAGAGAGAAAAGAAAAAATTTAATAATATTCTTTTATGTTTGGTTTTATATTTTGGGAGGAATAAGAGGACTAAAATTCCTTCTTACTTGATTTTAGCTTCCTTTTAAAAATGAGAAATTTGGAGAGATAAATAAAAATATATTAAATGTTTAATAGCTATACAAAAAATTCTAAATCAAATGGTCCTAAATGTTGTTTACCTAAACCATAGGTTTCACATCTATAATCAAATCTAACTAACAAAATAGAAAAGCATGCCCTGTGTTTTGATTTCCAAACAAGCATGGCCTTTGCCATACACTAGTATGTATTATGCTGAAATTGTAACACCTTTATTAAGGAGCGTGTTTCTTGAGCACGTTTTATGTCAAAATGCTAAAATTATATTTGGGAGTTAGGTTTAGAAGGGAAGGGGAGGGAATAGATTAAAAGGAGTTTAATCTTGTTTGTGAATTATTTAATTAGGAGAGAAAAGTTTTGTGAGTTTTTTCAAACTCTCCAAAAACTTATTTTTGAGTTTTCCCATTTTGAGGAGTTTTCTCTCTCTCACTCTTTCATACTATTTCACAAATAGGATTTTAAATTTTTTTAAAAAAATGTTATTTTTTCAAGTGATAATTTTTTAAAAAAATTTAAAAATAAAAATATTGATTTTAAAATTATTTATATAATTAAACTCTCCTATCACTCTCCTTTTTCAATATTAAATATCTAAACAAAAGAAGAGTTTAACCTTCTTCCCCTTCTCTCCCATTTTTCTCCTTCTCCTTTCTAACTCTTCTCCTTCCTCCCCTTTCAAACTCTCAAACAAAATCTAAAGTTTCTTTCAAAGGTGTGTTAAGCCTTATAGTACTAGACATTAGAAAGTTAGAATTTTAGGATGCCAAGTCATATCTTTTAGTTTTCACATTGTCCTCACTCTCTTTGGTAACCATATTTGACCTATCCTTCCTTCTATGTACTAAAATTCTAAATTTTCCATCCTAAGCATCTCTCTTCATCTTGTTCTCATCATATAGTTTTGCTTCTTTCAAATCAAACTAGCCACATAAGTTTTATCTTCTCTTATTATTTGTTTTTATGGATGTCTTGTATATAGTTACCTTTTTTCTTTTCATCTTTATAACTATGTATAATTAAATATCTCATTTCTTGGAGTTTGGGTGAATTCTTGTGATATAACTCCTTTTGAATCTCATATTGATTTTATGCTATTGATATTATTTATTAATTAAAATTAATTTTTTATTGTTATTTATATTTTTCAACTGATCACTCAAGAGTTAATTTTAGTTAATCAATTTATAGATGATCATACTATTAATAGGTTAAAAAAATAAGAGATAATTTGAGTTTAGGAGTTAAAGAAACTCGATCTATTGTCTAAACTTCTAATCAGTTAATTAAATTTGACAAATTATTGTTTCTTAATACTCTTATTTATTTTGTTATTTTTTATTCCTAATATATAGATAAAAATAAATTTGACAAATTTATTGTTTCTTAATGCTCTTTTTTATTTTTTTATTTTTTTATTCCTAATATATAGATAAAAAGACATATTATTTTTGTGATGTAACCCTGCTTAAATCTCATATTGATTTTATGTAATTGATGTTATTTATAAATTACAATTACCTCTTTTATTGTTATTTATATTTTTCAATTGATCGCTCAGGAGTTAATTTTAGTTAATTAATTGATAGATGATACCTTTAATAGGTTAATGAAACTAAGAGATGATTTGGATCTAGGAGTTAGGAAACTTGGTCTATTGTCTAGACTTCTAATTAGTTAATTAAATTTGACAAATCTATTATTTTTTAATATTTTTATTTATTTTGTTATTTTTTATTATCATTAGGGGTAACATATAGGTAAAAAGGTTGACATTATTTTTTTATTATTAGGTAGTAGTAATAATTAATTAAATGACTAATAATTGATTTAACACAATTTAATAGAATTAAATTAGAAAACATATAAGTAATCATAAAAAAAAATTAAAACCTTAAGCTTTTATCCATATCAAATTAACTTTGTAAATTTTTTTTTCTTTTCAATTTCAAACCTTATTTTAATTCAAACAATCTCAATTTTTTCATCTGCTTAACATTTAAGGGACAATATTAGTTGAGTTCTTGTAATATATGTTAAGATTGTGTAGTCTTTTTTAGTTCCACATTGTCTATTCTTGAGTGACTTTTGTTTTACTATTACTATATGAGTAATGTCTTGTAAAACTTTAAAAATCATCTTGTGAATAAAATATTTTTTTAGTGTAGCTGTGGACATAGGTATATATACTGTGTGTCGAATCACATATACTGTGTGCTGAATCACGTTAAATTCTTGTGTTTTCTCTCTCTCTCTTTTTTCTCTTTCTTCTTTAGTTGTTCCTAACAATATAGTCTACGAGGAAACAATATTGGGAAGGTTTCAAACATACTCTTTTACTATAATTGATGTTGATGAGTACACTTATTTGTTGATTGAAAAATTTTTGAAAAGTTAAAATCCACAACATTCATGCATAGCATGGTAGTTAGCTGTAAATTACCAATATTACCAACTATAGACTATATGAAAAACTTTGCATACCATGTGAATTTATATCATTTAGCAAGATAAATGTTTCTTGATTCTTTCACAAATAAATGTAATCATAATTAATTTATTTCATCATAGAGCATTTGTTAGCTATCCAAGTTTTCTATCTTGAGTTCTTTCTTCTTCTTTCCTTGTCAAGTGTTTTGCATTGTCATTTAAATACAATCACTTGAATCAAAGCTTTATAAAAAAATACTGCAATATTTTCCAGACTTTATTCTTCCTTCTTATACTTTGAAACATTACACTTTAGACAAGTATTTCAAGATGCATGTGCTTTTTTAAATAAAATGTAATCATTAGTATCCTTTTATATCTTGTTCCAAGAGAACATA